CCATAGACCCATAGTCATATCGATTATAAATCTCAAACCTAGCACTCAAACAAATCCGTTATTAATAAAATTTACCTAAATAATAAAATAAAATAAAAAAAAAAAAAAAAAAAAAAAAAAAACAAATAGCAGTAGCCTAAAATAGACGAACAACCAGACCTCAATACTATTCTTATTGCATTACAACAAATCTAACAAAAAAATCAACTTTTAAAACAAGAGAACATGGACTTTCGCAATGAACTTAACCAACTCCAGTTGCAAGGAGAGGCTCACAACCACCCAAAAAAGCCAAAAGTTAGCTTGCCTGACAAGTTTGATGGGACCCACTCCAAGTTTAGAGGGTTTTTAAACCAAATACAGCTTATTATCCGTCTACAGCCCAGCCATTATCCTAATGATAGGACTCAGATAGGGTTGCTTGGCAGTCTGCTTGTAGGCCCAGCATTGGCATGGTTTGCTCTACTCCTTGAAAAAGAATCACCATTGTTGGAAGATTTCGATGGTTTGTTGGGAAGTTCGAAACTACCTTCGGGGACTCAGACAAGGTCAGAACAGCAGCTACTAGGATCAGAAAACTTACCCAGGGATCCAAATCAGCCTCAAGCTACACTTCAGAGTTTCGTCAAATCTTTAGTGACCTGGATTGGGGCAAAGCGGCATTAATCGATCAATTTCGAATTGGGCTTAAAAACGATGTAAAAGACCTATTACTTACCATAGAAGATCCTATATCGTTGAACAATGCAATAGCTAAGGCAGTACGCTGCGATAACAGATTGTTTGAGTGATGTCGTGAACGACAAGGTCATAGTTTAGATCGAGGTGATTCAGTATCCAATTATAGTAGATCTAGTTTAACCCCAGAGCCAATGCAAATCGACTCAACAAGGGCAAGAACTCTTTCAGAAGAAGAAAAGCAGAGATGATGGGCCAATAACCTCTGCCTATACTGTGGCGAACCTGGGCATATAGCTAAGAGTTACCCGAGGAAAAGTATTGCCAAGCATAGGATCGATGCTGTGAAAACAAATTTTGAGAACTCGGGAAAAGAGGAGCCCCAACTGCAGTAAGGGGTCTGCAGTTGGATAGCACTTGTAACGAAGGCTCCAAACAACTAATTTCCAATACTTTAATGGATACTTTTGTTATACCAGTATCCATACAACTTTCGAACAAATCTATGTTGTCCGTCAATGCATTAATAGACTTCGGAGCTTCGGCTTGTTTTCTTGATTATACGTTAGCACACAAATACAACTTACCTATCAATACTAAAAGAATACCGCTGTTAGTAGAAGTAATAGATGGACGAGAAATATTGTCTGGAGCAGTTATATATGAGACCGGGCCATTGCTGCTGTGTTATCAGAACCATTACGAAGAAATCATATTTAACCTGATTCAAACGCCACACCATCAAGTCATTCTGAGACTACCATGGTTAATCCACCACAACCCTAACATTAATTGGTGTGAGCGTACACTAAAATTTCCAAATACAG